ACAGACACAGAATTGTTACTCAGGGACACAGAATTGTTACTGAGGGACACAGAATTGTTACTTAGGGCCACAGAAACTTTTACTTAGGGCCACAGAAACTTTACTTAGGGACACAGAATTGTTACTCAGGGACAGACACAGAATTGTTACTGAGGGACACACAGAATTGTTACTGAGGGCCACAGAACAGAATTGTTACTTAGGGCCACAGAAACGTTACTCGGACACAGAATTGTTACTGAGGGCCACAGAACCGTTACTTCGGGCCACAGAAACGTTACTTAAGGACACAGAATTGTTACTCAGGGACAGACACAGAATTGTTACTCAGGGCCACAGAATTGTTACTGAGGGCACAGAACCGTTACTTAGGGCCACAGAAACATTACTTAGGGCCACAGAATTGTTACTCAGGGACAGACACAGAATTGTTACTGAGGGACACAGAATTGTTATTGAGGGACACAGAACCGTTACTTAGGGCCACAGAAACGTTACTCAGGGACACAGAATTGTTACTGAGGGCCACAGAACCGTTACTTAGGGCCACAGAAACGTTACTTAGGGACACACAGAATTGTTACTCAGGGACAGACAGAATTGTTACTGAGGGACACAGAATTGTTACTGAGGGCCACAGAACCGTTACTAGGGCCACAGAAACGTTACTCGGGACACAGAATTGTTACTGAGGGACACAGAATTGTTACTCAGGGCAGACACAGAATTGTTACTCAGGGACAGACACAGAATTGTTACTCAGGGACACAGAATTGTTGAATTAAAGAGTATGTCAGACAACATGCAGAGGAGTGGCAGAGGAGGCAATGTTTTAGGAGCGAGCAGACGTGGCAGCAGAGGAAGGGGTCGAGGCAGCACTAGTCGCAGCCAGAGGCCAGTGCTCCCGGTGTCATCCAGCGGTCGTGTCTCCACCGACAACCCTGCCGTCATCGATTGGTTGGCTCGGTCGTCTTCCTCTTCCCAGGTCACCTCTGACACCTACAGCCAACGGTCGGTGTGTACGTCAGACACAACCGTTAGTTGGCATGGCCCGGAGCAAGCCCACTGAAATCACGTGTCCTCTACCTGTCCCCTGTCCTTTGCTGTTCCCTCACCAAGCGAAGTATCGCATGCTGTGGGCTCAGCCCCACTGTACAGTGAGGAAGAGCTAACAGAGGGCAGTCAGGAACGGGGGGAGACATCCGCCTTTTCAGCAGCCAGGCGAAGAAGTAGTGGCGAGGAGAGTGGCTCGGTAGCCGGTCTAGAGACAGGTCTGTCTCCTGACCCAGACGCAGCCGAGGGGGCTAGTAGTGAGGCGGAGACCCTACTTGATGATGATGAGGCTGATCGCACTTGGCAGCCTCGTCGTCATCAGGCAATTTCTTCCGCATCATCAGGAGAAGAGGGTGCCAGCTTGGCAGCGAGCGAAACAGTCGGTGGGTTGCCCAGGAGGCAGCAGGGTCGCAGCAGTGTCAGTGGAGCCAAACGGCCACGGAGTAGAGCACCAGCTCCACTGCAGCCTACCACCACGGCCAGTAGTGGTGCCGGTGCGCACGGAGGAAGTAGCAGTCAGCCAGTGAGGAGTAGCGGGGGCAAAGTTTCCTACTCGGTGGTGTGGCAATTTTTCGTCAAGCCGCCCGAGGAAGTAAACGTAGCCGTATGTCGACTATGTGGCCAGAAAGTCAAGCGTGGCCAGGGGGCCCCATGTTGGGACTACAGCGTTGCGTCAGCATATGCAGCGTCGCCATTTGGTGGCCTGGGAAAACCGTGATAAAGATACGGCGGTTCTGCCTGACCCAGCCCCCGCTCCATCACCCGCTCCGTTACTTGCTCCGTCACCCGACGTCAATCGCCATCTATCAGCCAGTCAAGGCTCCAACACCCTGCTGAGGGGAGTTGTCGCTCGTTGGCATCTTCCGCTCGTTCAGATGCTCCTTCTCCTGCTACTCCTCTTCTCGGATTCCGTCAACAGTCTTTCTTAGAAATCCGTTCCAAGAGACAACAGTTTGCGAGCACGCACCCGACGGTGCAAAAGCTGAACGTCCTCCTGTCCAAGTTGCTGGTGCTGCAGTCCCTCCCTTTCCAACTGGTGGACTCAGCACCTTTCCGAGAAATGATGGCTTGTGCCGCGCCGCGGTGGAGAGTGCCAAGCCGGCATTTCTTCGCCCAAAAAGGCAGTGCCAGCCCTGCATTCACATGTAGAAGAGATGGTGGGCGGTCTTTGAGCATGTCGGTCTCTGCCAAAGTGCACGGCAGCGCCGACGTGTGGAGCTGTAACTACGGTCAGGGACAGTACATGTCATTTACGGCCCACTGGGTGAACGTGGTGCCGGCACAGCCGCACCAGCAACTTGGACAGGTCACGACGCTTTTGCCTCCACGTTTGCACGTCCTTGGTCCAGCAAAGATGTCCGCCTCTACCACCTCTTCTTCCGCCGTGTCCTCAGCCGCCACCCCCGTGCCAAGTCCCATTACCCGACCGGCATATCACATGTGCAGGGCGCAACGGTGTCACGCTGTGCTGCACCTGGTATGCCGTGGCGAACGTAGTCACACAGGGGAGGAACTTCTGAGTGTAATGAACAGAGAAATCGACAGATGGCTGTCTCCGCGCAAACTGAAAATCGGAACCATGTTGACCGACAACGGAAAGAACATGGTGTCTGCTCTGCGTCAAGGAAGGTTGTGTGTGCCATGCGCCATGCATGGCTCACGTGTTCAATCTGGTTGTCAAGCGGTTCCTAAAATCCACCATCCCACTGCAAGACATCCTTAAAATGTCACGTAAACTTTGCATGCATTTCAGCCATTCCTACAGCGCAAAGCACACCCTCATTGAGCTGCAGCGGCAGAACGGAATTCCACAGCATCGCCTGATCTGCGACGTTGCAACAAGGTGGAATTCAACCCTACACATGTTAGACCGCCTTTACGAGCAGCGAAAGGCCATCACCGATTTCCTGATGTTACAAGCGGATAAAGGTACTCCCCTGTGTAACTTCGATGTCAGCCATTGGCAGCTCATGCGTGACACCTGCCGCTTGCTCAGGCCCTTTGAGGAGGCCACGCTATTCGTGAGTCGGCAGGACTATGGGATGAACGACGTCATTCCTCTGTTGCACGTCCTGGAACAAATGCTATTAACAATGGCTGGTCAGGGTGCGGTAGACGTGGCGCACAGATCTCAACGCCACATGACCCCTGTGGGGGCAGGACAGGAAGAAGAGGAGGAGGTAGAGGAGGACATTTGTGCTCAGGAATTATTGAGTGAAATGGGTGGTTTTTCCACTCAGCGGACAGGAGTGGAGGAGCAGGAGCATCTGGTAGAGGAGGAGGAGGAGGAGACAGAGGACCCAGACGCACCGTGGCAGTATGCTGTGGAGATGGAGGCAGGGAGTCCCTCGCATTCCTTGGCACAAATGGCCCATAGCATGCTCGGTTGCTTGCGTAGCGACAGCCGAATAATAACCATCAGACAGAGGGATGACTTTTGGCTGTCCACCTTTTTGGATCCTCGCTACCGTTCCAAAATTTGGCCTTTTTCACACCTGCTGAGAGGGAGGCCAAAATAACGTACTATAAAAAACCACCTATGTAGTCAGTTGGTCTCTGCCTTTCTGCGCCAACGTCCATCCTCAGACACTGTGGGCCCTGTGCGCTCGCGTTCCGCTGCCATGGCAGCAGGGGAGGGGTGGGGTGGTAGGAGCAGTGGCAGCTCCACCAGCAGCGGCTGCCTCAGTCTGCAGTCGATGATGAGTAGCTTTCTTCACCAGCGCAGTGAGGAAACTACGAACCAGCCGCAGCAGCAGCAGCAGCAGCATAGGTGGACCTGGAGCAGGAGCTCAAACAACAGGCTTGGGCCTACTTGGACAGCACCCCTGCCAAACCGAGGTAGACAATCCCCTTGACTACTGGGCAACGAAACTTGACCTTTGGCCCCAACTAGCTGAATTTGCCCTTGAAAGGCTGTCATGCCCGGCCAGTAGCGTGGCATCGGAGCGCGTGTTTAGTGCGGCAGGAGGTATTGTAACTCCGCGGAGGACACGACTGTCCACCCAAAGTGTGGAGAGACTCACGTTTGTGAAAATGAATCAGGCGTGGATTAGTCTGGATTTCAAACCACCAGTTCCTGACACAACTGACTAAATCCGCCATGAATCATGCCCCAAACATGTGCCACTTTCAGGTCTCCGCACACTGCTGCTGGGTTCCATTTTGTCATAGGGTGCTGGCAGATTACGGGCCTCCCATAGCTGCTGCCAGGCCCCTAATCTGCCATGGGCCCCTGTACCGCCTCCTCACGCTGCTGCAAGGTCCACAGTGTGTCATGCCATGTGCCACTTTCAGGTCTCCTCACACTGCTGGTGTGTTTCATTTTTGTCATAGGGTGCTGGCAGATTACGGGCCTCCCATAGCTGCTGCCAGGCCCCTAATCTGCCATGGGCCCCTGTACCGCCTCCTCACGCTGCTGCAAGGTCCACAGTGTGTCATGCCATGTGCGACTTTCAGGTCTCCTCACACTGCTGGTGTGTTTCATTTTGTCATAGGGTGCTGGCAGATTACGGGCCTCCCATAGCTGCTGCCAGGCCCCTAATCTGCCATGGGCCCCCGTACCGCCTCCTCACGCTGCTGCAAGGTCCACAGTGTGTCATGCCATGTGCCACTTTCAGGTCTCCTCACACTGCTGGTGTGTTTCATTTTGTCATAGGATGCTGGCAGATTACGGGCCTCACATTGCTGCGGCCAGGCCCCTAATCTGCCATGGGCCCCTGTACCACCTCCTCACGCTGCTGCCAGGTCCACAGTGTGTCATGGGTCCCTGTACCGCCTCCCATTGCTGCTGTTTCCATTGCCACACTCTGCCATTTGCCACTTTCAGGTCTCCTCACACTCCTGCTGGTTTCCATTTTGTCATAGGTTGCTGGCAGATTACAGGCCTCCCATAGGTGCTGCCAGGCCCCAAATCTGCCATGGGCCCCCGTACCGCCTGGTCACGCTGCTGCTGGGTCCACAGTGTGACATGGGGTCCCTGTACCGCCTCCCATTGCTCCCACTCTGCCATGTGCCACTTTCAGGTCTCCTCACACTCCTGCTGGTTTCCATTTTGTCATAGGTTGCTGGCAGATTACAGGCCTCCCATAGGTGCTGCCAGGCCCCAAATCTGCCATGGGCCCCCGGACCGCCTCGTCACGCTGCTGCTGGGTCCACAGTGTGTCATGGGTCCCTGTACCGCCTCCCATTGCTGCTGTTTCCATCGCCACACTCTGCCATTTGCCACTTTCAGGTCTCTCCTCACACTCCTGCTGGTTTCCATTTTGTCATAGGTTGCTGGCAGATTACAGGCCTCCCATAGGTGCTGCCAGGCCCCAAATCTGCCATGGGCCCCCGTACCGCCTCGTCACGCTGCTGCTGGGGTCCACAGTGTGTCATGGGTCCCTGTACGGCCTCCCATTGCTGCTGTTTCCATCGCCACACTCTGCCATTTGCCACTTTCAGGTCTCCTCACACTCCTGCTGGTTTCCATTTTGTCATAGGTTGCTGGCAGATTACAGGCCTCCCATAGGTGCTGCCAGGCCCCAAATCTGCCATGGGCCCCCGGACCGCCTCGTCACGCTGCTGCTGGGTCCACAGTGTGTCATGGGTCCCTGTACCGCCTCCCATTGCTGCTGTTTCCATCGCCACACTCTGCCATTTGCCACTTTCAGGTCTCCTCACACTCCTGCTGGTTTCCATTTTGTCATAGGTTGCTGGCAGATTACAGGCCTCCCATAGGTGCTGCCAGGCCCCAAATCTGCCATGGGCCCCCGTACCGCCTCGTCACGCTGCTGCTGGGTCCACAGTGTGTCATGGGTCCCTGTACGGCCTCCATTGCTGCTGTTTCCATCGCCACACTCTGCCATTTGCCACTTTCAGGTCTCCTCACACTCCTGCTGGTTTCCATTTTGTCATAGGTTGCTGGCATATTACAGGGCCTCCCATAGGTGCTGCCAGGCCCCAAATCTGCCATGGGCCCCCGTACCGCCTGGTCACGCTGCTGCTGGGTCCACAGTGTTTCATGGGTCTATGTACCGCCTCCCATTGCTCCCACTCTGCCATGTGCCACTTTCAGGTCTCCTCACACTCCTGCTGGTTTCCATTTTGTCATAGGTTGCTGGCAGATTACAGGCCTCCCATAGGTGCTGCCAGGCCCCAAATCTGCCATGGGCCCCCGGACTGCCTCGTCACGCTGCTGCTGGGTCCACAGTGTGTCATGGGTCCCTGTACCGCCTCCCATTGCTGCTGTTTCCATCGCCACACTCTGCCATTTGCCACTTTCAGGTCTCCTCACACTCCTGCTGGTTTCCATTTTGTCATAGGTTGCTGGCAGATTACAGGCCTCCCATAGGTGCTGCCAGGCCCCAAATCTGCCATGGGCCCCCGTACCGCCTGGTCACGCTGCTGCTGGGTCCACAGTGTGACATGGGTCCCTGTACCGCCTCCCATTGCTCCCACTCTGCCATGTGCCACTTTCAGGTCTCCTCACACTCTGCTGGTTTCCATTTTGTCATAGGTTGCTGGCAGATTACAGGCCTCCCATAGGTGCTGCCAGGCCCCAAATCTGCCATGGGCCCCCAGACCGCCTCGTCACGCTGCTGCTGGGGTCCACAGTGTGTCATGGGTCCCTGTACCGCCTCCCATTGCTGCTGTTTCCATCGCCACACTCTGCCATTTGCCACTTTCAGGTCTCCTCACACTCCTGCTGGTTTCCATTTTGTCATAGGTTGCTGTATGGCCTCCCATTGCTGCTGCCTCCACCGCCACACTGTGGCTCCAAACACTGGTTTTGGCCCCGTGACTGGCCAAATGAGTGAAGTGTGCGGTGATTCTAAGATCGACGGCACTCATCTGCATGTCATACTGACTGACAGTATTATTTCTTTCCCCAGCAGACTCCAAGGGCATTTAAATTAAAGGTACAGTGTTCTGCACTAATATTAAGTCTCTCTGAAGCCTAGAAACACCCTTTTTTAAGTTAAATTCACAGCGAATATATTCGACTCGAATCGAATATTTTCCACGAATTCGCCGAATCAGTCGAATCGAATTTTTGAATACTTCGCTCATCTCTAATTGTGAGCCAATGTGGATCATCTGGAGCTGTGTAAGTACCACCCCCCATTATGGACAAGAGCCCCCCCATGCTCCTTTGTATACACAGAGCTGAAGAAGGGATTAAATAAATTTGCCTTCTCTTTGTCCCCAGTCACCCCCTCTGGATTATTTGTAAAGGGCCTACATGCTCGGACCGGACCTTTTTACTATTAATATATTTGAAGAATTTTTTTTGGGGTTGGTTCTGCTATCTTTTGCAATTTGTCATTCGGTTTCAATTTTTGCGCCTTTATTTCTTTTTACATATTCTGTTAAATTTCTTTGTTATGTGTAAATGATGATCGTGTTCTTTCATTTTTATATTTAATAAAAGCTCTTTTCTTATTATCTATGGCTTTTTTAACTTTGGCCGTAAGCCACATAGGTTTGATTTTTAGCCTTTTATACTTGTTGCCCATGGGAATATATTTTGCAGTGTGATCACATACAGTCTTTTTTGAAGAACTCCCATTTCTTGGAGGTCCTTCCCTTCAACTTGCAGCCTAGTTTTTTTAATTGATTCTTAAGGAGCCTCCACCTTCCATGTATTCTGTCATTGGTTCCAATATGAACCAAGACAGCTGGGTCATGCCAAGCCCCCCCCCAGTAATTTATCAACCCGGTCCACCACATGCCGAACCCTGGCACCAGGGAGACAGCAAACCATTTGGTTGAGGCGATCCTGGCGACTAATTATTCTATCAGTCCTTCTGATTATAGAATCCCCTACTACCACCAGCTGTCTAGGTCTTCCTGCACTACCCTCACCACCCCTCCCAGATGGTCTGCCCTCCCTGCTGTTAGGGATAGCAGTGACATCCAGGGCTGCCACCCCTGAGCTTGCCACCCAAACATCTTCACCTAAATTGGCAAATCTGTTTGAGTGCTCAAACCCAGGGCCAGCCTTCCTGTTCTGTGAGCCCCTACCACTCCCTCTCGTTACAGCAACCCATCTTCTTACCTGATAATCCTGATTAGCCCATCTGCCCTCCACATCAATCCCATTAGCTACTTGCTCAGGGAGCAGAAGATCCCTTTCAAGGTTGTCAGTTCGGCCCGGTGTTGCAACTTGTTCCTCCAGATCTCTAACGCGAGATTCCAGAAGGGCAACCAGCTCACACCTGTCGCAGCGGTATCCATCCTGGAGCTGTTGCTCCATTGCTGCATACATGTGGCACACTGTGCATGGCACAAACCCTTCCACATATGTGCGGCACACTGTGCATGGCGCAAATCCTTCTACATATATGCGGGACACTGTGCATGGTGCAAAACCCTTCTGCATACGTGCGGCACATTGTGCACGGCACAGACCCTTTTATATACGTGCGGCACACTGTGCACGGCACAAACCTTTCTACATACATGCGGCACACTGCGCACGGCACAAACCCTTCTACATACGTGCGGCACACTGCAAGCGGCGCAATCCCTTCCACATACATGCGGCACACTGTGCGCGGCGCAAACCCTTCCACATACATGCGGCACACTGTGAGTGGCGCAAACCCTTCCACATACATGTGGCACACTGTGCTGCAGCACAAAACCCTTCTACATACATGTGGCACACTGTGCTGCAGCACAAACCCTTCTACATACATGCGGCTCACTGTGTGCAGCACAAACCCTTCCACCCTGCTAGCACTCATATCCCAGTTACCCAGTTGTCAGGTTAGTAGACTCCTGTTTTCCACTCTGGTTTTTTAACTCCACAATGCAGGCCATAGATGGGTCAAAAATCGGCCAATTTTTCTTTAAAAAAAACGAAAAATTGGTCGTTCAAGCGGCCGACGTTACCAGCAACGGTAAGAAAAAAATCGGCTGATTTTCATCCCATCTACAGCCGGCAAAAAGTGTCCCTGCAGAGAGAGCTCCCCTATTTCTTTGACAGTTCCTTGACATTTATAGCAGTTGCAACAATGTATTTGTATCCATTTAGGATACAGATGTTTTTTATTCAGAAACAAATAGATACATTGTTGCAACCGCTATAAATGTCAAGGAACTGTCAAAGAAATAGCGGAGCTCTCTGCAGGGACACTTTTTGCCGGACTGGAATTCCTCTTCTTCTTCATCCTCTTCTTCTTCCTCTTCTTCATCCTCTTCTTCTTCCTCCACTTCTTCATCCTCTTCTTCATTCTCCTCTTCTTCATCCTCTTCTTCTTCATCATCCTATTCTTCTTCCTCTTCTTCATCCTCTTCTTCTTCTTCATCCTCTTCTTCCTATTCTTCTTCTTCCTCCTCTTCATCCTCTTCTTCATCCTCTTCTTCTTCTTCCTCTTCTTCATCCTCTTCTATTTCTTCATCCTCTTTCTGCTTCTTCTTCTTCATCCTCCTCTTCTTCTTCTTCTTCCTCTTCTTCTTTTTCTTCTTCATCCTCTTCTTCATCCTCTTCTTCTTCTTTGTCTTCTTCCTTTTCTTCTTCCTCCTCTCTTCTTCTTCCTCCTCTTCCCTATTCTTCTTCTTCCTCCTCTTCTTTCTTCTTCTTCTTCTTCTTCTTCATCCTCTTCTTCTTCATCCTCTTCTTCTTCTTCTTCTTCTCATCCTCTTCTTCTTCCTCTTCTTCTCTTCTTCTTCATCCTCTTCTTCTTCATCCTCTTCTTCTTTCTTCTTCTTCTTCTTCTTTCTTCATCTCTTCTTCTTCTTCATCCTCTTCTCCTTCTTCATCCTCTTCTTCATCCTCTTCTTCTTTTTCTTCTTCTTTTTTTGTCTTCCTCTCTTGCAGGTCACGGCTCATGCACAGATTTTTTTTATCGGTAAAAAGATCGGCCGATTTGCCCATCATTGCCGCAAAAATCGGCCGATCGGCAAAAATCGGCCGATTTTTTTTTTTCAACTTTACCGAAAAAAAAAAATCTGACAAAATACCGAAAAAAACGGTCGAACAATTAGCCCACTAACCGATTTTTATTTTCGGCCCATCTATGGCCTGCATTAGCAAAGGTCCAGCAAGCAAAATACAGGCAAGCTTAAAAATGAGAGCATGCTCACAGTGAGCTCTACAGCAAGTTATATAGGACCTGTATCACCTGGGACCAATTAGGCCCGCCCTTCATTAGCAGAGTGAAGGAACAAGGAAAGGAAGAAAAAAAAAACTATTTAAAAAAAGATAGAAAAAGGGATTTAAAAAAGTAAAAGCTTTTAGCAAGACCCAAAGAAGAAAATAAAACAACTACAAGCACCAGCAGTCAAAAGTAAAACTTTCAAATTTCCCACTCTTATGATCAGCCAGCAAAAAATGCCAGACACAGATGTGAGCTCTACAGCAAGTTATATAGGACCTGTATCACCTGAGACCAATTAACTCCCACCCTTAATTAGCAGACTGAAGGAAGACAAGGAAAGGAAGAGAAAAAAAAAACCTGGTACACACTTTCTTAGCATTTGGTAGACGTGTTATTTGCTTTGCTCCACATCAAAACTGGGACTAAATTTTCATTATACAGAGTTTCGGATATTTCCGAATTACAATAGAAACGAATTTCAACGAATCCAACATAACGAAACAAAATTTAGTCTGAAATAATTTGAATCGAATTTGAAAACAAATTCGAACTGTAAACATATTGCTGATTTCCTGCAAAGACTGTGTATTATTATTGTTTTTGAAAATAATACAATAGAGTAAAACAGAATAAAATAGAATACCATAGGAAAGAATAGCAAATAAAAAACAATAAAATAAAAATAGAATAGAAAGAATATAACCGCCTTCCAAAAATTTGAATTTCAAATAGGATAGAACATTTCATTATTTTATATTCATTATTTTAATTTAAATTCGGCTCAAATACATTGGAAAAAATTAGAATCCTGTTGAAAACAAACTAAACCAAACGAATGCAGTGAAACAAAAATTATTAACACTCCAAAAATGAAACACATTTTATTCGTCCTGCCCTATGTGAAAAAGTAATTGCCCCTCCCCTCCCTTGCTAAATCATGAATGAACTATGGTTAACCACATTTATTGGAAAGTTGAGTTAAATTTCACTTGCCATGCCCAGGCCTGATTACTACCAGACCTGTTGAATCAAGAAATCCATTAAGCAGAAACATTTAAAGGGACCCAGGATGCTTTTAGACTTACTTGATGAGCTACTGCTGAGCATGGAGTTTACCGACTCAAAAATCTATTGGCTTTGGTCTGAGATCATCATAAGCATGTTATCATTTCTATGATCGTTGGCGAAGTAACTGATTATTTCTTTGTAAAAAACAATCAATCAGCTTCAAAAGAAATAAAACAAAATACCAATCTCATGTGACATCACTAAACACCCGCCCCCTACATGCCTTTAGGACTTCCTGCAGAAGGCTCCTCTGGTCCACCAACATTCTGGTGTTACACCCAACTCTACTACCTGGGGCTGTACAAGAGGCCTGTTGGCTGATGCATGGCTTACATTGTATACCAGATTGTGGACATATCTGGACTTTCACAAACTTACCATGAAAATTCCACAGGAAGTATAATAATAAACCAGATGAGACCAATGCTGTGATGGATGATACCGTAAAGATTACCCCCAAAACAACTTTCATCCTGGGACCCGATACTATAAAAGAAAAGCACAATAAGTGTAATTGTATTTCTGAATGTCTGGAAAACAATCCCAACAACATTTCTGCTTTTCCCGACTATAAACCGATGTCTACGATGTTTCCTTCACTTTAACAGCTCCGCATCTTAACCTCCCCAAATGTGAGGATTGGA